AAATATAGATTTTCAAGTGTTTAGATAAGTATCAAGTTTAAAAAGCTATACACAAAAATTTTCAAATCAAATATTAAATGTAACTCACGCTTGACCTATACATGATCGAAAACGCTCATCCCTAATTTCTAGCAATATAGCAAGAAATAGTTCTACCTCCAAGAGAGTGGCTTAACTTGCTAAAAAGTTTAAGATTTTAAGTTGAAAATCTCAAATTTAAATTTTAAATTAGGTGAAAAGGGAATTGAGAAAAGAAGAGAGTTATTTCCTCCTCTATCACAAGATGTACCAAAAAATAAAAAATTCTCAATGCCTCCCCCACCTCCAAACACAGAGAAAATAAAATAATAATAATAATAATAATAATAAGTTCCTTTGATCTTCAAACTTGAGGCACTAATTCATTAATGTTCAAAGTTTGTTCCTTCTTTATTTTTTCTAATTTTTAATTGGATTTTGACCGACTAATAAAAAAAAAGGGGGGAAAACTAAAATGAGGTTTTAATTTTAAACATTTACCAAGCGTTTCCCTTAATTTGGTCCATTGAACATATAAAACTGGCTGCTTTGAGTCACTGTCATTATCTGGTTGTCTGGTTCAAGAATGTGGAATAGCAAACTATTTAGTGACCTTACTAAAACGATTGAAAAATAGATTAAGAAAAAGAAATCAAAATGTTTGCGATGTTCTAATCAATGAGGTAAGTAGTTGTGATAATCTTGTTTTAATGCAAGTAAAATATTTTAAATTTGAGTTATATGATATGTGAGTGTGTTAAATTAAGATGTGAAAGAAAATTATATCTCATTGTGCAATTAAACATAATAATAATTTTTGAATGTAATTTCACGCAAATTCCTGTGAAACATGTGATTCATAGAATTAATTACCAAGCTCATCATTAATCCAACAATATAAGTTTCAACCCTATTAAGCAAGTTGGCAACAGATCTTTTCACCTAACTATGGCTGCTGATTACTTCTTCTTCTTTTTTTTTATTCAACAATTTATGAGGGTAGAGAATTCAAATTTGAAACCTCTAAAATCCTAATATCTATTTCTTTAACCACTTGATCAAAATCAAATAGACTGTAGATGTACGACATCCTGAACGAATGGTATATTTCATATCATTCTTTTGTCCACTTTAGTAATGGATTGATTTCATTGTGATGAGGAGAATCCTATACCAGATCCAGTTGACACCCCTGGATATCATATTTCCTGTAAACACCTTTGGCTTGAGGGAGGGCCTGTATATATTGGTACAACAATTGACAAATGTGAAAGCTGCAGGGCACGAATTAAAATTTAGGCTTCAATTCTTCTTCTTATTATCAACCAGCAGAACATATAGCTGACCTCGTACAATTGGACATGGGGACCGAACATGATTAATACGTGTAGGTGGTCCTGGTTTCCATGATCATGGAGGAAACAAGAGAAGCCAAGAGGATAGCTCTAGGCAGCCTAGGTTCCCACTTTGCTGCAAAACTGTTGGCTATGGAAAAATGAAATGTGCAATCAAGGGAGGAAAAAAAGGAGAAACAAAAACAAGTTGCTTAGGACCGTGCAAATAACGCAGTACGCGTCGAAAGGTCATAGGATGAGATTCTATGTCACTGGACCATTTTTCAGGTTTTTAACCTTTCACCTTTTCAATAATACAGCTTTGGATATGGAAAGGATCAACTGGCTCCGGCCCCCCCTTCAATTCCATCCCCCTTTCATCAGGAAAAGGACTGTCTAATTTTATGAGGAGACCCCTCCAATATTTAACACATTCTAGAAGAGAACAAGTCAAATACAAGGTTTTGGTTGTTTTCTTTGGTCTCTAATTGGTCCCTAATATTAGCCGCCTTCTCAATTAAACCCACTTTCTCGAAGCTATTGAGTGAAACATTTTTAGGCATGCAATTTGAGTCATGTGAGTATGCCATTTCAATTTAAATTTCTAGGTAAAATAGTTTTTTTTTTTTTACTATATTTTGTATATGATATGCGTATAATAAAGTTTTAATGATTATAAATTTGATCGTTTTCGTAATTTAATTATTCCCACCTTTCACTATTGGAGTAATGTTGTAGGGATAGAAATGGAATTTTGTGGTCCTCCCACATGATTCTCCTCCATTTTCACCTTCCTCTTACCTAAGACCTTTTTATAGTCTTCTCCTCCTCCTCCTTTCTACAAGCTCCATTTCACTCCCCTTTGTTAATTTTCTACGTTGATCTCTTTGTTTCCTAGGTTGATCTCTTTCTCATCAAAGAAAATGGGAACGAGCAGGGTTGATGTGAAGAGGAGCTTAATGGGGGACGATGAGGAAGAAGAAGAAGAAGAAGATAGTACGGTGCTAGGGTTTGAAGATGATAGCAAGAAGAAGAAAGGGAAGAGAGGATCCAGCAGTTCTGGAGGGTCAACGCCGCCTCGTTGTCAGGTTGACCACTGTCCCGCTGATATGACTGAGGCCAAGCCCTACTTCCGCCGCCACAAGGTCTGCGAGTATCATGCCAAGGCTCCGGTTGTCACTCTTGGGGGACTTCAGCAACGCTTTTGCCAGCAATGCAGCAGGTTGGAGTTCAAAAACCCTAATTTTCCATCTATTTTCTGGTTCTTTGTGAAAGTTCTTTGAATCCATAACTAAATCAGATGCTTTTGATCTTTATTTCATCAATTTGGGCTTTATCATAGAACATTAATTTGCTAAGTCATATATACTATGAAAATTAATCACATACTTAATACAGAATGTGAGATTTATGTACTTCATTACATAAATTAATCTTATTCTTTATTTCTATCACTATCAAACTCTATAACTTATTAACATAATCTGAACTAGATAAATGGATTGTATGTATGAGCTTTTGATTATTTAAATATTTCAATTATACATAATGCGCACTCCCAACCTGAATTTTTTTTTTGAATAAGAAATTGATCACGCTTTCTATACGTGTTAAAACGATTATCAATAAATAAGAGAAAATGAGCTGGATATCACACAACTATTGTGAATTATGGTAGAATCATCACAAGATAACATACCAAGAAACCCCACTTCCATTCAAAATTCATATGTACAAAATCATAAGGAGGCTTGTTAATTATTTCTTAACTTGAGCTATAGCTGCTTTAATTAATTGGACAATAATGGCAATGAGATTTCAACATTGCCCCAAAACAAGAGAAAAAAAATGAAAAAAGAAGGTGGGTTAGGGGCTTCAATATATATCACTGATACAATATTGATCAATAATCACTTCAATTACTATTAATAGCAGTTGATCATCTCAATAACATTATCCATTTTTAGTTGTTAATAGATGGTACTTTTACATAGATTTTTTTCATCAACTAGTACTTTTATATAGTATATGAACGCAATGCATCTTTTTGACCCGTGATCATTTGCATCACTCTAATATAGTTGCCCCTCAGGTTTCATGAAATATCAGAGTTTGATGACACCAAAAGGAGTTGCAGGAGGCGATTGGCCGGACACAATGAGCGTCGTCGGAAAAACGCAAGCGAATATCATGGAGAAAGCTCAAATTAATAACTAGAGATTAAGCTAGACTCCCCCGGAGACATCGCCTCTTCCGATGCACAGTTCATATATTTATATGAGTTTAGATTTCGATCCGAAAGTACTCTCTCTCTATATATATGATCTAATATATATGCTCTCTCTCTTCTGTCAATCGTTGGTTTTCCTTGATGTACTATCATTTCAGGTCCCTATCCCTATATTTATATATGCTTAATTTTAGTGAGAATATTTGGCTGCCTTTATTTTAGATGGAGTAGTAATGCATATTCCTCTTCGTTTGATAGAGCTTCTAGCTTTCTTTACATTAGCATATAATTTATAAAACTTGAGATTAGGACTTGTTGTGGTTGGAAAAGATCAACCCCACACTATTGATTGATTGATTATACACCATTAAGTAGAGGGCCGCCGCCCCCTTTTCTTACGAGGGATGTATTGAAAGGCATATCTCGACATTAACAGGTTCATGGACGTACGTGGCTTTGAAATCGAATTTTGCTTATACATGTTTGTTTTTGCTTTTGGTTCCCAAATGAATTAACGAGTTGGATCTCTCCAAATTGCATGAAAACAGCTTATATATATATGGCAATGAACGCTCCTCTTGTTGTAACCAATTTATTCAGGGTAATGATTGATTAAAGCGGAGGGAATTGGATGAGTAGCAAATCACGAATTATCTTGCAATCAATGTAAGCGGGAGGGAAATGGAGAAAATTTCATTATTTAATTAGTTACCAGAAAAATTAGAGAGATGGAAGTCTTGTATTTTATTTTTTGATTTTAATTCCTCTATTTATATTAATAACAAAAATGGAAGAAAATGGAAGAATACAATATCTTTTCATTCCTCTCATTTCTATTTTTCTCAAACCAAACTTCCTCTTTACATTATTTTCCCTTGCATATTTTTCACTAAAAACATTTTTTTTCTAAGGTTATTTATATTTTGAAGCTAGCATCCCATGGCTGCAGATCTGAGATTGATCTTAATTAAGTGCTTGCTAAAGTTTATATATATGTCAAAATTTTAGGATTTTTGATATATCTAATGATGGGATGTATAGAATAGGATAGTACATAACTCTTATCTTTCTTAAATCTTAGTTATCTATTTTAAGATTTAAGTATAAAATCTTCAATTCCAAGTCTTAAGCTTCTTTTCAATGATACCCTCTGAGGCATTTCATATTTGTTTTTTAGACAAAAGGAAAATGCTGTAAACAAACTAATTAATTAAAAACAGAATTTGTCTTCTTGGTTGAATAAAGTTAATTTCTTTATCAACCAAAACTAAAAACTTAAATCAACTAGATATTGATAAATGCTCATTCAGATCCCCATAGTTCTATTCTTTGTAAATAAGGCACTTTGCTCCAATCCAACTTTCTTGGTTTCTTTTGTTTTTTATTCTCCCTCCCAAAAGATTTAAGTTACACGACAAAAAAAATTCTGTTCCAACTTCCAATCATGTACGTCATGAAATTAGCAAAAATAAACTTTGAAAAATTCTGTAGTCTCAAGTTTACCCACGTTTGTTTTGTCCATGTCCTTAATTAATCCAAAGAGGAGCAATTAGAGTGGTCGGTAATGATAGGTGAGGGGAGGGGATTAGGTGTTACGAAACTTAATTAGACTTTTTAATTTACCTAATATTTTTTTGAGATAACGTAAGTATCCAGGCCTATTTACATAATATTTTGGTTTTGCCTTTATTTCAAAGAAAGAAAAGTAGTTCATACACCAAAATGAGATAAATGCATTCACAGAGTGGTTAGATTCTATTGCAATTACACTTTAAGACAATTCAATGTCCAGGACAACATTCAATTATTTGTAAAAAAAATTTCACCTATCGTTCACAAGTGTGTAAGAAATCCAACCAGAGACTTTTAAAAATGAACCGTCCTCGGTCAGACAGTAGGACGGTTACGTAGTCCTTCCTGCGTAGCGTAAAAGAGAAGACACTGTAGCGAGGGTACATGATAGCCAGACTCCACATGGACCACTGTTTTTCATTTATCAACTATGAACTATGAAGAATTACAGTTGCACATAAATTAGTTGAGGCACCATTCATTCTGGGGAAAAATCATGCTTTGATATCATGTCAGTAAAACCTCTTGGTTTTATAGTTCATGTCAAGAATTTGTGTGGACTACATCCAGCAAGTCAATTGGCAGGGAAAAAAAAAGGGATCATGCCAGTCACCAATATGAAAAAAAATAATGAAGAATCAGAAATCTGTTGATGTTAGACAAACTACCACTCCTAGTCATGCTTAATGCCCATGAGTTTCATAGCTAGCTCCCATGTGACAATAGCAGCAGCATTAGCAGGAAATGCTCTCATTATTGTAGGACCAAGACCTGCGTAGCAGCCCTTGAGTCCAGCCCTTCTGTAAACCTACAAAGGGAAACAAATTAGACAATTGTTTTGCCCTTATGCACATACACTTTTCTGCAATAGGGAAGTCATGAATTCCAGATTATGAAATGGACAGAAATTAGGATAGCTTACTGAATTCAATATTTGAAAAGGATTTCTAGAGGATTTTTTATCTGAAGTGGTTTGAATAATGGTTTTTGCCACATCCAAGGGTAAGACAGCTGACCAGAACTAGAAAAGGCAGGATCAAAAGGATAAAGTTTAGAAGGCCATAGGGGAAACACAAATCAAAAACTTGCAGTGCAAGACTGTCAAAAAAGCTTACAGCCACACCACCAAGACCACCACTTAGAATACCAACTACCATATCAGTCAGGTAGCTCTGGTCCAGTGAACCACGTCTCAGCTGTAAATGCATATGATAACGGACATTTTCATAAACACTAAAAAAGACAGCATTTCCAATGAATTCTCTTAACAGTGTTGTTGACCCACCACGAAAAATGCCTGTAACCTGAAAGGCATTCCATCAGCTCATAATCATGTATACATGAATTTGACAGTAAGCAGAGTTTTTCTCACCCCTTCGCTTTTTATTGTTTTGATTGCACAATCAAGAGGACTACTGAATCTACTGGACTTTGGAACCAAGGAGTCAGTGCCTTGAACTTGCATCCTACACTGGAGAACCTCAGTGTCACAAGAATGCCAAGGAAAACAACATCGATTACAGAACAACCAAGCATGCAATTTATGGTTTCAATGATTCCCTTACCTTCACCAGCTCTGAAGGACATAACACAAAACTGATAATGGCTCCACTAAAGGCTGCAGAAGGAATTATAACTTGGGGCTGTGGTCCAATACTCTGAACTCCTCCCTTCATATCAGCAAAAAGAATAAAAATATCAGTGTGCAATAAACACGAGATGGATCAGTTCTCCACACATAATTCAGTCCCTCCAATTTACTTAAACAAATAAACCTGAAGTGACTGTTTTGTTTGCGAATAGATGCCAAAAAGGAGAGAACTCTCAAAAGCCACCCCAATAAAAGATGGTGTTGCTCCTGTATAAAGCCCTCTAACCTGTCATAGTTAACCACTGGTCAGAAAGAGAGAACAAGTATGTCCACTGTATACTAAAATTTATGAAGTTCTATATGACTTAATTGACTCAAAACCTTGGTTTAAAGAGCATATCATACAGATGCAAACACGCAAATATTGCAATACACAAGACCAGTGAGTGTGTCCATTTTGATTAAGAGATTTTAACAGTTTTAAGATTTTTAGAGATTGGCTACTGTGATCCACATCAGCATCAATAAGTGAAGTAAGCCATGGCATGTTATTGTTCTAGAGCATTAGAAGTGAAAATGATCAAGTTTAAGATAGTAAGCACTTTAAGGCCCCCTGCTCATTAATCTTCAAGGTCTTGCAGAATAAACATATGATACCAGTAAATATTATGAGTCACCAGTTGCCTTCACCAGATTATCTCCAAAATATTGCTATAGTGATTTGTTGGAGATCTCTAGAACAGCTGAGTCAGCACATACAGAAGGGCATACTAGCTCTGTTCTCACATATCTCACCCCACTACTATTGAACTGAACATTTCACATACAGCTTAAAAGATAGCTTCTTGTTTCCAAATTAACAACATAATGCAAAGTATCAGAATATGAAAATCTTCAATAGAGGTCCAAACTCCAAAAAGTATGGACTTGTTTCTTATGAAATTGGACGAAAACTGTTCTGGCCATAAAAAAAAAGAAGACAAAGATTTTAATCCCCATTATAAATGGGAAACTGCTGAGCCACTGGTTTATGGGGCCATGATGCTAGTATGGTACACTGTATATTCAAAGAGGCACAATATACATGAGGGAAAGATGAAGTTTCTAGATACACGACCTCTCATAAGAGGTTATGAATGCAAATATAATTATGTAACAGAAAAGGAAGAGAGAAAGGACAGCAATCCTTATTTTGAATTTCGTACCGTCCTTATAAAAAATTGCCAAAGGCTTGACCTCATATTAAGAAGCCCTTAAAACCAAACAACCTAATCATTTGGAGAAAGTCATAATCCGATGCAAATGTGAACATACAATCACCAAAGAAGGGAGCAATAATTGTAACATCAGCCAGAGTATCAGAAACATACAAATTATGAGAATTAACTTGGTGCTTCACAGAAAAAGGGTCAAGAGCCATACTCCTTCAGTTGCTAGTATCCTAGCAGAACAATGCAAACCACTCTTGTATCGAATCCCATGTGCTTCAGTATTGTATTTCTGCAACTTCACCTGACAAGGGATCATACATACAACTTTCAAACGGAAATCACTCAAAAAAAAGATTACTCAAACCATGATACACATACAGCAAAACATTTGCCAACAGGCTATATCAAATCTAAACCGCATCAGAAAAGCCATAATCTTAGTAAACCCAATTTGACTAAGAAACTCTACAGCAGATAAAAGAAAAACATCAAATTTGACAATAAATCAACAAAGAAAGTAAAACCCATAATAAGTTACATATTGAAAAATACCTTAACGGTGTCAAAAGGGTGGCCGATGATGACGGTGGCAACACCGGCGAGCAAGCCCGCTACATATTCCTTGTAACCGGAACTCTCTTCCATTACCCTTTGCTTTGCTCGGTCCAAATGTGTATGAACTCTAATGGAGGAATATGGATCGCCGTCTTTGTCGTCCTCCCTCTCCCCACCAAGTTTTGGTCGGATTGGATTGCTATCAGGGAGAGAGACTTTCGGCTTCTGGGGACTGCCTAGGGCCAGATAATTGCACATGCAACCCCAGTCAAAGATGTACGGTAGTCACAAGTTGACTTTAACCGAAACAGGTAGTCATAACTTCAACCATATCGATTTTAAACAAACGCAAGAACGTAGCCTGAGTTAAAGTGCTCTTTATGTCTGAGAAGATAGTAAAGTTGAGTTGAGTAAAGCGATTGAGTCATTACATATTAGAAGTCAAAGTATAAATATGATCGGTTAAACTAGTTTGCAAATCCGAACCCGGCCGTGAGATAAAGTAGCTTCGGTCACTTTAAAGGTTAACTCATCTTTTTTTTAAGTAATGGTTTAATTTGATCTCGTTATAATTATTTTAAAAAAAAATTAGTTTGTAAATCCTGTTAGGTCTAACAAATTTACAACTTGGTTTTAAAACTCAGGTCAAATTAATTGGTTAAATTAGATTCAATTACAGAAAATAAGTTGGATATATGCTCCAATATGTTTTAAAGAAAAATATAAAAATTTGATGGAGTTTGAAAAGCTCACTAAACTTACTGATTTGATAAACTTATTAACTCGACACGATAAATTTTAAAACAAAAAAAATTAACTTTTTATGCATTTTATCTTTTTAAATTATATTTATTTAATTAAATTCAATTTTTTAAATTACTTTTGAAGTATTTTACAAGGTGCTCTAAAGTGAACTTTTTAATCAAACCAATCAATTGAACTGATTAAACCAAGTACAGTGCTAAAATCAAGTTAGCCACCGAGTCAAGTTCACAAACATTAATTTTCAGGTTAAAACAATCTCACCAATTTCATTGAGTCGATGATTGTGAACTGAGTAGAATAAATTGGAATACTTTTTTTTGCAAATGCATAGTGATTATTTTTCTCTACAGCTCAACACTGATTTGAAAAATGCAGGATTACAAATAAAATATCTCACGCCGGTATGCAGAATTCAAGTTCAGGCACAACCACTTGTGCTTTATCTAATACACATGATGAGTTCAGGCAAGCTGGAAGTCATTACCAATTACAACGGCGGCTTGCACAACATGATTCAACATTGCTGCCCAAAATTCTTGCTTTCTTACAGAGGGCAAGAAACATGCATGGCGTTCATAACTTACTAGGAAGCTTTCCACTTGGAAGCCTTTCTTCTTTGCCTGGTTCTTCCGGTCTTCTCAATAGCTCATTCCTTTCAGCTATGAATTTAGTGAAACGGGAACCCTTCCCTTCTTTGTTGTTGTTGTCTTCCAGCCGTGACTCTGGGAGATTAGGCCCTGGCCTGGGACGCGATGGTGGCATCAATGACCATACTGAGGAAAGGTGTTCATTTGGTTGGTCCAGATTTTGAAGAAGTGAAAAGTCCTGCATGTCTTTTGGGAAAAGCGAATATCAGATCCTAAAGGCATTCTCCTGAAACTAAATTACTGTTAACTGAAAATAAAAAAACAAATTCTGTATAAGAAAATAGGATGCTAGTTATCTCCTGCTGATTCTCAGTTGAATCAAGTTCTACTCAGTCATCAATAAAATAATTTAAATTGTTAAAAACAAAATGAAAACTGTTCCATACTCCACACCTAATAAACACTACTTTAACTAACCTCTTGCAAACTCAAAGATGGGTGCCAAAACTGCACTTGGAATGCTGAAATTTAGATGTGGTATAACTGTCCCTCCACTGTGCCTCGCATTGCTGCATCAAGAATACATCTCATTAAAAACTGTTCACCTGCTGACACTGAAGAGCTTAGTTGATTGATACAAATGAAAAAATGTAAATGCCTCACAGAAAATAAAGCTTTTACTTCACAACAACAAAGACAGGGTAAGATTGCAAAAGAACACCTTGCCAAAGGTGTGGTACATCAAAGTTTTATGTCCAGTGTCATGGTGTTGTTTATGAGACATAGATACATTTAAAAAGCAGCACATGTTTCAAACAAACTCATATTAAAAGCATTAAACTGCTGACCGATAGCCATTTGCATCACAACCACAAGATTCTGTACAATAAACCAACTTGCAGCATCTTCACTATGACACTCTAACCACCAACATTTGTATGCCTCAGCTGAGGCTGACAAAGATGACAATTCAATTTCACAAAAAAGTTATCCACTATACCTTGTAACAAGCCCAATCATATGACCTGCTGCATTGACAACAGCACCACCACTACCACCAGGATGAACAGCAGCTGTTGTTTCAAGCATTGCTGGAAACTCTGAATCCCCCACTAGTAAAGATTTGTAATGAGAGGGCATCATTGTTTTGACTACTTTTGCCACCACTCCAGAGCAAACAGAAGGCAACAAGGCTGCAAAGTTCAATGCCATAATAACTTGTTAAAAGACAAATTTGGCAACGTTACAAACATTAAAGTACTAGGAAACAAACCCCATACGGTCTTCCCTTTTACATTATAACATCTTTGGCATTTCACTTTAAATTACTGTCAAAAACCCAAGTTTGATAACTGATGAGAAGAGTATTTTAGGCCTGAGAATGCCATGTCATTCAATTTCAAATATTTAGAGACAACTTATACTGCAGATGTTATCCAACAATGCGTGGGCAACAAAAAGGATAACTGGATGAGGTTCTTCAGACAGCAAAACCGACACATGCCTGAGAGATTACTTTGCCTCTATTATTCAGTACCCAAGTAATCTAAGTCCATTAAATGAGAGCATAATGACATAAATAAATAAATAAATCTATCACTTCTTTTGGGAGTTTAGATACTGATTAAGTTTGGATGGAAAGAAATAGCAGATATTTTCAAAGCTTGGAGAAAGATGTCGATGGTGTATCTCCAGGAATATTACCATTTCTGAGTCTAAATTTTGGCCTGTAAAATTGTTAACTATAGTCTATAAATGATGAACAAGAAATTATAACAATAAAGTAAACAAGGTCCTTACCACATCTTGGTCCCAGTAGTCCATGTCCAATAACATGCACCTTTGATCCCACAAATGGTTCACCAAAATCCACAATGATAGGACTAAGCTGATCAGGGACATAATCAAGTTGCAGAAGTGCAACATCCAGAGATCCCTTGCAAATATAGATTAACTTAGCATCACACCATATCCAGGGGTCCTGATGATCAAGGTGGACGCGTATGCTTATTTTCCCTTGGTAACATGAACCCAATTTATATCCACTGTATTCATGAGTCATGGAAGCATCTCCAATCTTCAGAGCAATTGGTTGTGGTCCCTGACTTCTTTGGTACCAATTGAGTCCATTACGCCCAGAAGAGGTTGATTCTTCAGGAGGAAATGGAGACTCATTTTCATTTCCACTTCTTTGACCATTGTTTGTTTTTCCAAACCTCCAGGGTTCCAACAAGTGAGCATTTGTGAGTATCAGGCCTTGATTATTGATAACAACACCTGATGCCCATACCCCATTATCAATTGTAATAAGACATACAGAAGCCATGGCCCTCTCAATAGATAATTGTGTAGAGCATGCTGAACTAGGCTGCTTGTAATTGTAACAGCAGGGCCCATTGGAGTGGTGGCTATTAGATAATTTTTCATTCCCTACAGCATTTAAGTTTCCCTGATTAATAGGAACCTTCATTTCTGCATTTTTGGGCTCCTTCAGCAGCAAGTCACTGCAAGCAGTTGCAATGGCTTCCCACGGAATCACAAGCTGTTACCCAACCCAAAAGCTACAGTTTTTTGTGATGCAATAACTATATAAACTTTATAGAATGTAATATCTGAACGTCTGTATGTTACCTGAATCTCAGCACCAGTATTCTTCTGCCTCAATGGTCTAGTCAAGATACCAACCAAAGCATGTTTATCAAAAACTGGACCACCTTCCATTCCTAGCAGATTTATTTTAAAAACAGAATTAGAATTCAATGGCATCAAAGAAAGACAGGCAACATAAAATAGAAATGCATTTACCAGGAAGACAACGAATGTCAGCCATCAGCAATGCAGTGTTTGGTGATTTTGGTGGAAAGGTGTTGGCAACAGTTCCCACTGATATACTGGTCAAGCAGCAAGAGGATTAAACAGCAGAACTCCAGAGCAAGCCAGGGGTAAGCAATGGTAAATTTACAGAACACACAGACATACATAAAGGTAGAGAGAGACCATCAATGGTTCAGTTTCAGAAGTTACAACCACTTAAGTCCTAACCAATCAGTTTCCTAACCACAGAATTTGAGAACATCAAGAAAATTACCCTCAAGGAGAAATAGATAACTGTAGGAGATGAAAAGGAACTTTAGGACAGAGTAACCATGTCAAAAATCTAACCAAATTAACACATTAAAGATGCCTAGAAAGGGAAGAAGCACTACCTGTTAAAGAAGTGCATTGGCGAGAGGATACCAAAAGGAGATCCTGCTGCCAGGAGAAATTCTCCCCTTTCATTCAGATGGGATAGCCCAATATTTGGTGGATCCTAATTCATTATGATTGACATTATCATTATAGAGTTTAACTGAAATATGTAACTAAACATAGCAGAATCTTTCACTTGCTTCCATGTGATTTACCAGCAAAAAGTAAATCACTTCATTATCTAGAAAGTTAAGAACCAAAATGAAAAGAAGAGATGCTTACATGGAATAAGTTAACTCCAAGAACAGCAATTCTAGTAATTGACCTGCCTATCAGATTAGGATTGCTTGGTTCCCCGATCACCGGCTTCTGTCTCTCCATGAAAGGTTTGCCAGCATCCTCTGTCTGAATTCAAGTTCATTTCATGTCTTATTGCATTTTCATTTTTCAACTAGGGGAAAGAAGATGTGTGAGGAATGACTTTGAAGGAAAACTTTATTCATGAATAAATTATACTAAATTTCTTGATTTCTATTCCTTTTTTTTTCTTTTTTTTTTCTCATTAAGGCACCATTTTGATGCTGGGTGCAATCCAAGCACCTGCTTCTAGCCTTGGACCATTCTCTAAAGGAAAGAAGACAAACTAAAAAGCTCGGGCTAATTGTTACTGTGACAATTGTGATTCATAAATTTTTCACTCATGGATAATTCAATCTGCATAAGGAACAGCGTGAAATCACAAGAACATAAGTTCTCAAAACTAACAAGTTTAAGCTTGAACTTGAAAGCAACAGATTTAAAACAGGATCTCCCATGTTCATCAATTTTTCTAAACCTTAAACACCATAATTATCAACTTAAACAAAACTCCAATAATAGCAATCAGCAGCCAACCAAATAACTGCAGCACTTTAATTTTTTTTTGCCTGATATTTCTTACATTGCAAAATTGTTAACATAAATCAGCCTGTTTAAAATATAAATAATAATTCATAGGACACTAACCTGGGTCTGAAAAACATCCATTAAGGGCTGGTGACTCCTATCAGAAGAAGCCAGTGACCAACCAACCTCCCAACCATGCTCTGTTGAGCCTGAAGAAGCTTCAAAAAGTGATTGGAGAGCAAGGGAAGATGCAGGAACATCAACCTCCAGAAACCCATTAAGTCAGAATCAGAAGTGAATAGAAAATTGCTGCAAACAAAAGTTATTCTCTACTTTGTAGTTCATATCATATAACACCAACCATTTGATTGAAATAATTACCATCCCTCTATCATTCTATCCTTCCTACCAATAGAGGGCTGATTGCAAACTAAGCTAACTCAATCTCTAACTACAAGTGTCAACATTTTTCAAAGACAAGAAGAAAGAAACACATCCTTTTTCTATTCCTAAGTTTCTTTCCTTCAATCAATATCCTTAGCCTAAATATATTAAGTTGAAAAACCTACCATTTTCAGTAGTTGGGCTGCCAGCCAGGAAGGAGCCACTTCATCTGTATTCGTTCCTGATTTTCCCTAGAAACCAAAACAAATCAATAAATTGAATCTGAGTTAAAACTAACTTCTAGAAGTAATGTTTGCAATTAAGAAAAAAAAAAAAAAAAGTTATTAAGTTGTTTGTACCTTTAACATAATACCAATCTCAGCACCAGGAATCAACTCAGGTCGACCCTACAACCAACAAGCAGCAGTAAACTCATATTAAAACTTCTAAATCTCAAAATGTAAGCCCTCCAATACTCAATGTTACAACAATGAATTCAACCTGAGAAATATTCTCTCTGTGTTGAAGAGTCAGAAAAGGCTCAATAACGGAAGCAACAGTCAAAACCAACACCGACCCTTGACCAATGTCCCCATCCCAAAGACGCTTAGCCACCTCAATATCGTAGAGGGTACGAGGCAAAAGCATCCCAGAAGCTGATAGTATGGTTTTGCCAGAACTACAATACCCAGATTTCAAAAAAATCAAACTTACATACATAAAAATAAAAAGGGTGCAAAATCCTGTAGATGTTTGACTCACTGGTATTGATGAAACGCATGTTTCCTCATCTTCAGCCCTTTGGGGTCCTAAATAAACATAAACATAAACAACACAAGGCTTAAGTGCTCCTGTACTTGCACATATTGTATAAGTCTGAGTGGGGGACAGAAGAAGGACTTACAGGCCCTTGAACTCTGACCAAGACAGCCAAATTCCGGGCAAAATCGACGGTTTTGTGGAGATCCATCCGCAGAAGATAGCCGTTTCCGTTGAAAGAATTATTAAACGCTCGTGGGTACAACGATCTTCGGACTGAAAATGAATTCCTTTGCAATCGATGCTTCCGCTACACGGGAAAGCTGAGTGATTTTCTTTGACTTTCCGGGCATTGGAACAGCGTACGCTCCACGAAGCAGATAAGGAACGCGCGCCGCGGTTGGCGAGGTCCAGAAAAAGGAAAATAGTTCAGCGAAGGAGAACTAAGGAAGGCTAATCTCTAAAACTCAGGATGTTTATGGAAATGTATTAACTTTTTATATGTATTTTAACTTTAATAAGTTTAATTTTTTT